TTTTTGATTATTTACATGTTAATTACATGTTATTTACATACTCTGTAAATTTTCAACTTTTCCAGTGGCTAAATTATATTGAAAAACATTTTTCTATTCCTTGTAATTATTACATTACAAGGGGAACATACAAATATCAGCAAACGAATTATTTAAGTTTTAGTAAAAACTCCCCACTGGATTCCATACTATAAAAGACGTGCCGTCTTTTGTTTAAAATAAAGGTTTTTAATCGGACGTTTGGTAATACTTTTCTAAATAGGTAATATCATAATTACTTAGATATATTTGCAAATTGGTTTGTCGGCAGCTATTAATTGTTTTTCTTGTTTACCAAAATATTTCATACCGTACGACATATTTATTTTATTTCTTACTCGAGTTTCATTTAAGGCATCGTTAACAGATACATTGATGTTCTTGGTAACACCAAAAATGCCTGTATGTTTCTACCCACTTAAAAATGATTTTGTTCTTTTTTGTTTCAAATCGTATATTTTGAAGGCGGTTTCCGTTGACAACATTGACACAAACCAGCGTTTTGTAGTGTGGCAATGGCTCTTGAACCATAACTGCTTCAACTTTAGGTGTATGAAAAATGGTCAGATATGTATACATATTTTAAGTTTTTCATTTTGATCAAAAAATTTCAATGAGTAGATATTATCATCAGAAACTTTTCCCTACCCTCGAGAAATGTAAACAGTCATGCGCTGTTTGCAAAGTCTACTACGGGCGGAAAATCTGTTCAGGTTTAAAGAAAGCTGTGAACTAAAACTGAACCTAAAGTTTTAAATTTCGAACTAAAGATGACAAGAACCGCAAGTATAGTTGACTTGGCATAACTGCCCGCAAAACAAATAAATTAAAGGAAGTCTCCCAAAACGAACACAAAGAAAATGCTACCTACAAGTACTCTTTGTTTATCTCATCTTTCATTTCATCAGTAATTTTTAATAGAAGATATGATTTCCTTGGTAACCAAAGACAAATGTTTCCTTTCTGATCAAGTTTAAGTTTGATTACATGTAACAGATAATCAAGTTTTTTAGCACAGTTTGTTTCTAGGTAGCTATTGTCTAGTCATGCCCTGTTTGTAAAGTCTACTGGGAGCGGAAGTTCTGTTCAGTTTTCAAAGAAAGCTGTAAACTAAAACTGCCCCTAACGTGTTTAATTTCGAACAAAAGATGACTAGAACCGCACTGAAGTATAGTGGACTTGGTATACCAATCCGGAAAAGCAAATAAATTTAAGGACGTCTCTTAGAATGTACCCAAGGGTAATGTTGCTAACGTTTCATAGCTAAATTATATTAAAAAACCATTCTTCTATACTTTGTAATTGTCACATTACAAGGAGAACAAACAAATATCAGCAACCAAATTTTTTAAGTTCAAGTAAAACTCCCCACTGGATTCCATACTATAAAAGACGTGTCGTCTTTTGTTTAAAATAAAGCTTTTTAATCGGACTTTTCGCTGTATTTTGCTAAATTGCTAATATCATAATTATTTAGAGATATTTGCAAATAGGTTTGTCGGCAGCTATTAATTGTTTTTCTTGTTTACCAAAATATGTCATATCGTAGGACATATTTATCTTATTTCTAAGTTGAGATTAATCGAAGGCGTCGTTAACAGATAGATTTTATGTTCTTGGTGACAGCCGACAAACCTGCACGGTCCTTCCTACTTAACAAAAAGGTTTTGTTCCCCACTGTTTTAAATCATTTATTTTGAAGGCGGTTTTTATTTACAACATTGGTGACAAACCAGAAATTTTGATATTCGAACTGTATCTGCTTAACTTTAGGAGCATGAAAAATGATCTGAGAGCAATTATTTAACCTACCTTTTCTTAGCTTTTTTATTTTGGTCAAAAAAAAATTTCAGTGAATAAATATTAGCACCAAAAGCCCTTTCCTACCCTAGAAAAATGTTCCTGGTCATGCGCTATTTGCAAAGTCTACAAAGGGCGGAAGTTTCGTTAAGTTTTCAAATAATGCTGTAAACTAAAACTGCACCTAAAGTGTTTAATTTCGAACAAAAGACGACAAGAGCCGCCAAGAAATCGGTAGGGAAATAGAAAGGTTTGAACGAAAACGTATATCGGCACCAAATGGAGGCTATTGTGTTTATCATCTTTCGAATATTTTTTACGACACGAGCAAGTTTGAAAATTGAAGATATTTCCCAGTTTTAGCTTACTACACAATAGAGCGTGTTACTTCTTAACACCGGTTATGCGTGCGAGTGAGGCAAGCATTCTTCGTTTACATGCTAGTTACTCTGCTTTCAGGACATGAATCTCCAAGGTAGCTTGGCCAGAGCTGGACATAGAGCCTTGAAATTTCAGACCAGAACAGAGGGATTTCCCTTGCCCACCATTTGCCCCGAAGGGGTCTGCGTAATAATACAAATCTTCCTACTGATCATAGTTAGCCCTTTTGTTTCCAGGGTACAGCTTAGCATTCCGCCAGTTTTCGTACCAGTTATAGCACAACGGGACGGAGAACATCACAGCAAGTGTTTGGTCGGTGCTTGGAATGTAGTAGGCCAGGACTCCGACAACTCCCGTTGCGACTGGTCCATGGGTTTTGCGAGGCCCGTAAAGTACGGCATACCCTGTGGAAAATAGAAAAATAGAAAAAAAAAAAAAAAAGAAAAAAAAGAAACGGACAAACAATTAAAAATGATTGATCTCGGTTATCGCAAAATATCATGATTTGTTAGTGGCGAGCAGATCAATTATTTGCCGAAGCCGAAGACTGAGGAAAATAATTCTTCTGCGAGACACTGACGAATCACGATATTTAGCGATAACCGAGCTCAATAATTGTTGTTGGAAATGTTAATTCTTGGGCGCTTTGTTGACAAAGGTTTTCATTTCCTTCCTAATTATAAATCTCGGTCCTATTTAAGAGACTCCAAGTCTGAAAAATGAGGATATCAATTGAAAAATCATATAACAAAACAAGCACGGCGCGAAAAAATGAAGAATATTTGTTAGACAGTCTTGCCAGAAAAATAAATAAATAAATAAATAAATAAATAAATAAATAAATAAATAAATAAATAAGTAAAATAAAAATGTAATGTAAATGTAAAGATTATTTGTAGTGGTCATGCACTTAGCTATACAAGCCGTAAGCTTAGCTAGTTTACAGGCATGCCACTGAAACAAAGGAAACAAATGTCTCAAATAAACGTAGCATAGTTCAAAAGCCCAACTGGCAGGAGGCAGACTAGCTGGCTATTCAACAAAGCGTGACCGAGTATTTGAACTCAGGGCTATCGAAAAACAAATCCCGCTAGTGGCAGGATTGAGGCCTTGAACCCGGGAGCTCCGGATTACAACACCAGCGCCCTAAACTACTCAGCCACGCTGCCTCCTTTGATGCCTAACAGGGTGAAATGGTCGTGTTGCTCATATTGTGTTGGTCAAGTTCAAGCATGATAACTACTATACTAGCGAGCCTCTGTAAATGCTAAATTCACTTTCACCATTATCAACAGAATAGGGCAGGTTTTCATCCGCAGTGCCAGAAAAAAAAGTAGGTAGAACCTTCTTGCCAGCTAAATTCACTTTTGTTCTCAACGCCAACGGCGCATTTGCGGTCTACGTTAGCAAGGGCATTTAGGAGTTCTTTCAGCAGGTCGATTGTAAGCTCGGCACCTTCGATAATAGTTCCTGCAGCAACTGAAATTAAATAAGCAAGTAAGTGAGATCTTAATAAAACCCTGCACAATCTGTATCAACCGAAATCTTGTTAAATCCTTACCAGAAGTGGTAGCGATCTAAGGAAGCGTATAGAAGACGTCTGGTAAGGGTTTGTAGAGTCAAACATCCCGACTTGTTACTCGTATGGTCCCCATAACGCCTTCCGCCGGATAATTAACAATTGTTTCATGAGGGCGCGTTGGATATGAGATGGTAAATAGCCAACAAGTTGTCTATGATTACCTCATATCCAACAAGCGGGAGTGGTATAACCGTTGTTTTTAAAACGTCCCCAAAATATAGAAGACTAGATCAAAATAAAAAATAAAAAGGTCCCAAAAAATCACGCGTTTGCTTACCATATTTGTAAAGTATGGTATAATGGCTTATAACCCATGATGGCTAAGCCAATGAAAACTCTTGAAGTGCATTATCCACTGGATAGTGTGGATTTATTCGGAGGAGAGACTTATCCGCCTTTCGAACAAACCTTGCCTGGTCCTTTCTCTGTCGCGCAACGTTGCCCTTTCGGGAGAGCGTAGCGTTGCGAGACAGATAGAGGGTCATAACTTGTATAGTTACTTGTGTATTGACAAACTAGCAGGGGGGAAGGGGGATGGACCCCCAATATAAGCTATATGGGTTTGTGCCGCTGTGAGGGAGTAGTTTTCAAGCAATTTAGTCTGGAATATATAGTTTTGGCCTAGATTAGGGTATAATTTACCGGACAAGTAGCCAGTAGAAATAATTTAGTCTAGAACAGGGTTCTTTACCCTGGGTTCTGTGCTAGAAATTAAAATTCGAAAGTGACCTTGTAAGATATTGGTTTAGTTAACGTATGTTGGACTGCAATAGTGATAAAGTTTCAGCCCGGAAAATAGCTAGCTGGGATACGGCACAGGTTTTTGGTGGTTAGTTTAGCGTGTTCTTTAGCCTGCTCAAAACATTTAACTGATTTTCAGCTTTCTTAACAAACACATTGGCCAGATTATTAAGAAAGTTGGAAATCAGTTAGACGTTTTGAGCAGGCTAAAGAATACGCTAGGATAATGCATGCCTTTAGAAAGCTACAGATCAACTCTCCGTCGGGGTGTTGATAGGTGTACGTTTGTACTGATTTAGACTCGCATTTCGTGTTGAAAACAATCTTAATTAAATTGCTATTCATGATTCAATGATAATACCGTGAGGTTAGTCCTCCTGGCCTCAAAAGGCATACAGAAGAGTTTTTTACTTTTATTTGAGCCACGAGAAGCCTTGTCAAAGCTAACCCTAGAAAGGCATTGTATCAAGATTACTCAGTGACGTGGGAAATTATGTGGCTATGTTTTTGCGAATACATGAACAATAGCCTCAGTTTGGCGCATCGATATGCTCGGATATTTGTCCGTCGACATTATCTGTTTCGAGAAGCGAACTCAGAGCGTAGCTTTAGGAAAACAGTGAGCCTTAAGAAACACATGATGTCCAAGGAAAAATATCCGAGCGCATTTTCGCACCAAATGGAGGCTATTGTGTTTATCATCTTTCGAATATTTTTTACGACACGAGCAAGTTTGAAAATTGAAGATATTTCCCAGTTTTAGCTGGGGCATACTCAGTCACGTGACTTGTATAAACCAATCGCTTGCTAACAGAAATGTTTGATGGACCAAAACTACACATAATTCCATCTACCCACACATCTCATTCACTACTGAGAAGGAATCTGACCAACAGATCGCTTTCTTAGATACTTTGGTTTCCCACAAGGATAACACGATCACTATCGGTGTATATCGCAAAGCAACCCACACGAACAGATAATTAGACTTTTCTTCTCACCATGAGAAACGCCCCAAGATTAGCACAGCTGAGACCCTCTTATACCGCGCAATTAAACTCCCTAGTACATCGCAGGAGAAAAATACCGAGATCAACCATGATGCTCTACGAGCCAGCAACTATCTCTCCTATGTTATTTCTAATATCTTAAGGCGGAAATTTTCTAAACCACCCACACACGACATCCCCACACCTGAAGAGTTGGTTTACATGTTTTTTAAATGGGCTGCGCCTCAAGAGAATCCTAACAGTTTTACTGTCCTTTCCTTCATCAATGGTGTCACTCAACCAGTAACAAGAATTCTTCGAAGGCACGACATTCAAGTTGTAAATAAGCTCTTCAAGACTTCACAACAAGAATTTCCTTCTCCAAAATTCGGAACATGTACTGAACATCAACCGAATGTGACTTCTAAAATACCCTGTGATTGGTGTTATGTAGGCGAAACTGGCCGGTGTTTTGAATCTCGTAACAAAGAACATATCGGGAATGTCAAAACAAGTGCTAATGGATCAAACATTGCGAAACATACGTCGTCATTCGACCATCGCATAGATTTTGATAATTCTAGTGTCATCGACAAAGGGTCTTTTCGCATTAGAAAAACTTTGGAGGCTTGGCACACCTTTGCTACCAAGCATGCTGACAATAATTCTAAGCCGATTCCAAACCAGTATAGTATTCTTTTTAAACAATAGTCACCTAATTTACACATTTTTACTTTGCTTTTGTTCTTCTTCTTATTTTTTATCTCGCCCTTTCTTGCATATATTTTTTCATTTTCCATTCCATTTTTATCCGTCGAAGGCTGTAGATTGACAGCCGAAAGCTGATGTTCTTTTTGAAATTCTTTAGTCAGCAATTTTTTTTATCGTAATTTTGATAATATCCAGGCTATTGTGTCAAATTTTGTGACTTTTCCTTACGTTGATCAGGAAATATGTTATTGTCTCAATTTATTGGTCAGGTGTTTTCTTTAAGGTTTTTAAAATGTCTGTTTCAGTATTTGGTAGTGATAGAGATTTTATTAAAAATAATAATAATAATAATAATAATAATAATAATAATAAATACCTTTGCAATTCTTAAAAAAAAAAGAACTGTTGAAATCTAAGATGGCGGACCTTTTAAGCGGCCTTCACACGGTAAACTTAAGTTGGCAAACTTCAAAAAGATGCCAAAGGTTAATTAATTTGAAACGGGGCCGACGTATTGCAGTGGCACTCAGGTAAAGTTGATGCTTGGGACTTGTTCTTATTTTATGTCACTCGCCAGAGAAGAAACAGAAATCGGTAGGGAAATAGAAAGGTTTGAACGAAAACGTATATCGGCAGAAATCCCTCCCTTGGCATGCACAACACGCTCGTCCAAGAGCTTCGCACAGAAGATGCGGCGGCCTTCAAAACTCTTTTGCGCATGGATCAAACTTGCTTCCATTTTCCTTAGTTTGTCTTTAGTATCTTTGACGGTTGCAGATGAGACGTTCCACACAGCCAGACAATTGTGAACCTCTTCGATAAATTGAAAAGTTGCCTCACGTTCATTTTGACGTTCGCCCGCCATTTTGTGCAGTGTCATGCAAATCACCTGAATAGAGCGGGTGTTTTGATTGATTGACAGTTACGAAGTTACGTTTGCCAATCGTTCACACTGCAAATACGAGTTTACCAACATTAAAAAGCTGTTTAAAAGGTTGGCGAGAATAAAGGCAAGTTCTATTTGTCGCCAACAGTTTGCTAATTAAGTGTTTGCCGACTGTTTTTTTTTTTTTGCCGTTCACGCAACCCAACTAGAGTTTGCCGACTTAAGTACGCGTGTGAAGCCGCTTACTGCTTTCTTTTTTGGCGTCATGATCGACACATGATTATCACTAAGGTAAACTCATTGCAATGGTTTACTGGCAATGTAAGTTTGATTAATATTAGGTCAATACTTCTGGAGATAGACGGGGGTTGGGGTGGGGAGGTGGCACCAAGAACCCTTTGGGTGACCAGCGAGGACCCTTGCCAAGTCTGTTGTAATTTTAAAGCTATTACGCAAATTGCAGGTCTGAAATAACGCGGGATGGACCGGATAGCTCACATCGTGTAACATCCATTCCAGAGGGGAACAATATCCCTTCGAAATCCATGCTATAGAAATTAGAGTTAAATCGCGATCATTCGGAAATAATAATAACAACAACAACAACAGCAATATTAAGAATAAGAATAAAGATAAGGATAAGGATAAGGATAAGGAAGAGGATAAGGATAAGGATAAGGA